GGGCCCTGCCCGGCCTTCCCCGCCCCGGCACTGCGAGGGGCCAGGGGCGGCGGAGTGCTTGGAGACTGAGCCCAACCGGACTCATCCCAGACATGCTTAGACCCACTCAAACCTACCTTAAAATAACACAAACACACCCCAACCTATGCTAAATCCACCCTGAAACCCAAATCCACCCGAACCCACCTAAGCCCACCCCGAACACACACAAACCCCCTCCAAATCTACCCAAACCCACTCCAAAACCCCAAGCATCCCCAGATCCACCCAGGCCAAGCCCCCAGGAAGGCCCGGCACACCCGAGGGTCCCCTGGGGTCCCCAGGGACAAAGGACGTGACCCGGTTTCACTGAACACGGAGCGAGCCGCTCGCTGGACCCTCCGGGACCCGCCTGGCCCCGCTAATCGCCGGGGGCCGGGATTAGATGCTATTCCCGGCGGGACAGAGCTGCTGCCAAAGCCCTATTTATAGTAGGGGATAACAATTAATTCATGATTATGGCCTGCCTTTCACTTCCAATTAAGCGGTTCCCCTCTTCTTCTCAGTGACGTACGCCTTTGTCATCTTTAATCCTTCAATTTCCTGCCGAGATTCTACTTTTCACTTCCAAACTTCGGGTCTTCTTTCCTGGAGGCTGCGGAGTTTTGCTCATGTGCAGATCTTCATACAAACCCCAAAGATTTGAGTGGTTTAAATAGGGATTTACCTAGGAAAATACAATTCCAATATTTTCTTTTTTACTTTATTTTTTTCATTTCTTGCCTGATTTTGTTTCTCGTATCCAAACTGATGCCTTAAGGAGTGTGTGGGTGCTCCTGGCCAGAGGATACAGGATAATGGCAAATGGAAAAAAAATTCGGGATTTAATTGCATTTGATTGTTTTCTGGCCTTACTGTCAAATGATTAAGTGACTGTAAAGTGCTGGTTTAGTTATTGTCCAGTTTCCTTGGAAATGCTTTTGCATTTTACTTGTGAACTAACCAAACCCAGGGTGTCATCTCCTCTTTAAATCCATTTTTGCCCTTGTCCTTAGGGAAGACAACCCCATTCTTGTGCCATTTTAATGAAATGAATCACAAATCAAATCTCTGAGGCTTTTTAGTGGGATGTTTATCCCTGGCTTGCAGGTAGAACATTTTAAACAACTTTTATTCTGCAGAAATTTTATACTTTTCATTCCCCACAGGATGATTGAGGGGGTAGGAGAACAGTTCCATGTCCCAGGAGTGGTTGGAATCATGGAATTGTCTCAGCTGGAAAAAGACCTCTGCATTTGCTATTTTTAATTTAAACCTTCCTTAAGAATTTATTCAAGTATAATTTCTGTAAATAACCCTGATCTAACCTCACCAATAACTGCCCTGGGCCTGTCACCACTGGCCCAGCACGAGGACAGATGCTGGTCCCTAAGTTGAGGCAATAGGATTGTCCGGGATTATGCCACAGCTATTTTAAGGGATCGAATTTGGTGTCCATTATTTGAAAAGCAATGGATTCTCCACTCCTGATTCCAAGGAGAAATGGCCACAGCAGCCTGTGCTTCCTGAGCACCTCCTGGGTGACTTGGGAACACCCCTCCCTTCCCCTGCTCTTCCACACTAGGCCAGCACTTGTGTCCCACGCATCTCCTCAGGAAAACACTCCATGAAAAGAGGCTCTTGATGGTAAAATAAGGCCAGGATGAGTTCCCAGCTTTGGAGATCAGGAATCACAAGGGGCTTTACCTCACCTTGTTATTGTTTTACAAAGCAGTTGTAAAAGTACAGAGTACTTTTAAAGTACTTTTTAAAGTAGAAGTGAGAGGGGGAGAAAAAACCAAATGAACATTGAAAGGCCCAACTGGATCTTTAGGAAGCAGCATCCCTGTGCCAGTTATGTTCATTGGCTGCTCCAGAGGGCTTTGGGGGAAAGTCAAGTGGAGTTTAAGGCAGGAAAACCTCTTTCCCAACCTGCTACCAAGGCCCTTGAATGTCACCTTCACCAATCGCTCCTGAGCCAGGGGTGGATCCCAAGTTAAGCTGCAGGGATCTTGTGTCCCCAACCTCTGCATTCTGTCCTTGGATGCTGCCTTCACTAGTGAAATGAGTTCCATGCAAAATCCTGGCCTCCCTCCTCCAGTGCCATCTGCTCCTCCATCCTTATCCCCTCTCTCCACCCCTGATCCTCTTTACGGCCTCTCCTAACTGATCCAAATGTCCCCCAGCATATCTGGCTGAATCACCGTGCTCGGGGAGACCAGGTTCATGTCCCTCCATCCCTGTGGTGTCCTGTCTGGGGCAGTTGTCCTCACTGCCTTGCCCTGTGTGTGGCTCTGGAGGGACCAGCAGCACCAGCAGCACCAAGGGCCCCCCTGGTTCCTCAGTGGTAAATTCACAACAAAACCCTTTTGCTCAATCTGGGAATGGTTCTAACTGGAGCTGTCAGAAATGAGATGGGATTCTATGTCTGTTTAACACTGTGCTGACCTCTCACCATGGCTCCAGCAGGAGCAGGATGGGATTAGGGTGAGATGGAATGGGCAGGGATCACTCTGGAGCATGTGGAGCACTCTGGAGAACAGGGAACACTCCAGAGCACAGGGACGCTCTGGCCCCTTGCTGTCCACCAGGGACATTGGGCAGGATCCACTGTGTGGACAAACAGTGCAGCCAGCAGGGACAAACCCTGTGCCTGTCCTTTCTGTGCTGAACATTTCCCTGCCCAGACACACAAACAATCCTTTTGTGCAGGACGCAAACAAGGGCAGGTTCCTGGCAGGACACAAAGAATGGATTCAACATCGGGATCAGCTGAGCTGTGCGCATGACGTGGCCTGTTTGCCACCAGCCCCGGCAGCCCCTGGCGCCCACTGGCCCAGGCCCTGGCCCACCTGTGTTTTCCTAAGAGAAAACCTGGAGGTTTTCTCCAGGAAGGAAGAAGAAGGCTGAGTGGGAGGTGGACCAGGGGGAAAATACACCAGCAATGGCTTCATGGGAGCTAGGCCAGCACTTCTTGGCACATCCTGACACAGCTGGTGGCGTAACTAGCCCCCTGCTCTGGCCACCAGATGCCCCGGTCTGGCACAGGGCTGGGACACGTTGTTATGCCCCGCTGCCGTGGGCACCCACAGCCCAGGGAATGCCAGCCCTCAGCACAGGGAATGTGGGGCACTTGGGCCATCCCACCAGCTCTGCAGCTGCTGCCCCACTCAGCATTGCTCCCGTGCCGTGGGCGAGGAACAGGAAGCTTTCCACGGTAGGGAAAGCGATGTCTAGGCACAATCAGGCTCAGGGAGCAGGTGGTGCCCCTCACCCTCCGGGGCTGGTGTTTCAGCCCCACGCAAGGGGCACAGACGCCACTCAAGGGGCTACCACTCCCAGTCTCAGGCCTCACAGTGGGAGGGATTGCAGACCCTTTAAATGGGCTCTCAGGCCCCATCAAAGGCGTTACTGACCCCATACAGGGGTTACTGACCCCATACAGGGGTTTCAAGCCCCTCAGCTGGGTCTCAGGCTCCTCACGGGGGTCTCGGGCCCCTCACGGGGTCTCGGTTACGCCGCCAGGGGGCGCTCTGCTCCCCAGTGCCGTGCGCGCGCGGTGGCGCCCCCGGTGGGCGGGGCCG